TCATTAATATCAGTGTTTGTGAATCTGACGGTCACACCGGCGCAGGTTCCTGTAGTTGTAGTGATAGGCTGTATGCTCAGCGCATCACTTCCTGTCAGAAAGACAGAAACAGGAAATGGACTTGATCTCAATCCGCTCTTCACGTCACGCAGTCAAGTGTTTGGAGGCGTGAGGCTTGTTTGCGGCTCTCAGGAAGCTGGTTTTCAGGAACAGGAGGACATAACTCTGTGTGAGGAGACAACGACGCTTGTTCTCTGTTTCCGTAGTTTGGTGTTTCCATGGTCCAGAGTAAAAACACAGCACAACACGGACGCGTTCACGCTCGGTTATGAAGGAGACGGATGAGAACTCAAGATGAAGACAGATGAAGTGTGTCTCGTTGTCTCACTTTAATCAGTCACTATAGGTGCTCTGTTAAGTTTCGGCCACAAATGTGAAAGGACGACAGATGTTTAGAATAAAAATGAAATCCTCAAAGATTTTTAGTTTGCTCTGTTTTTTCAGGGTTATTACAGTTAACTAAAACTAAAACCATAAAAAATATTTATATTACTAATAATCAGATCCAGTGTGAACAGTAGTCACTCTTGATCTGTTGCCATACATCTTTGTTTTTCTGCAAATCACTACTCATTTGTGAGCAATAATTAATTGTATTCCTTGCATTTTCAGTTCTTGCAATTCAAAAATGTCATTCACATCGTTTTCCTTAAACAACTCAAGTAATTGAATTGTTTGAGCTGATACTGATATTTCTTAACAGAAATCAGTAGAGCTTTATTTGAGCTTCAGCTGGAATATTCCTTTAAAATCAGCAGTGTTTATGCAGCAGCACAGTCTGGACTTCAGATGGGGTTTGGTATTCAGTTTAACTGTATGTGTACACGATCGGATGAAAACAGCACTTGAACAGAATTAACTTTGCAACATCAGTTACTGAACTAAACTGAACTATTATCCTTTAGAGCTGCGTTTAGAGACGAAATGGAATGACTTTCATATTTGATGAATTGCTGTTGTTTTTTTGTTTCTGAAGCTGCATTGACATGATCTGTATTGTGTGAAGCGCTGTGTAATGCGTGGCCTCTCTGTTAGTCAGACTGTGAGTGTGTGTTTGGTCCGTCTGTCGTCAGTCCGGTGTGTTTGTTCGGGACGGACGCACGTGAGTGTGTTTTGTTTGCTGTGCTAACAGTGTGTTTCCAGCATCTCTGATGCTCACTGGAGTGTGTGACGAATTATTACATTTACATTTAGTCATTTAGCAGATGCTTTTATCCAAAGCGACTTACAAGTGAGAACAATGGAAGCAATCAAAATCAACAAAAGAGCAATGATATGCAAGTGCTATAACAAGTCTTAGTTAGCTTAACGCAGTACACATAGCAAGGGTTTTTAAAATTATATAATAAATAAAAAGAAAACAGATAGAATAGAAAAAGAATAGAGCAAGCTAGTGTTAGAGGCCTTTTTTGCTTTTGTTAATTGTATAATAAATAAAAAGAAAACAAATAGATAGAATACAAAAAGATTAGAAAAGCTAGTGTTAGTCTTTTTTTAAAGAAAACAAGCAGTAAATGAATAGACTGCAAGTCTAAAACTTTCTTTAAAAGTCTTTTTTAAAGAATAGAATTAGAATAGAGAGATCTAGAGTGCTAGGGTCAAATATAGATGGAAGAGATGTGTTTTTAGCTGATTCTTGAAGATGGTTAAGGACTCAGCTGCTCGGACTGAGTTGGGCAGGTCATTCCTGTCACAGTGTCTGGTTGTGGTGCCCTGGACTGGCCACTTGAGGGCACTCTCCTGTTTTTGTGTTATATGTTGTGAACTCCATTTCCCATAGTCCCTTGTCTGTCATTCTGTCTGATCATTAGCACCTGTTTATTATTTCC